TTCCAAGTCACCCACGAATAGTGTACCCAGCAACCTTCTACGGACGAGGCCGATGTTGGTGAACCAATCCCCCCGCTGCGTGACACGATACTCCTCTCTCTGCCTCTCTCCGTTCTCCACCTTACACTGTCATTTCTCGCCGCACACCAATATGCCCAAGACATTCCCCTCCGAAAACTCATCCAGAACACGGCCTTTATATCGTTCCCTGTGCTCACTTTCGTCATTCATCTTGCCCATGGCCACATTATTTCTTTTGACAGGTTCGGTTTCAGAAGCAAAGGATACGGGCAGCGGGATGGAGAGAACAAGAATACGGAAAAACGGCAGGAATCTACGGGCGGGAGCAACACTTTGTTCGGAAGGGTCCTCAACTATCTCTTTCCCCCTTCAGTGAAATCCATGGTATTCTTTCCCATGGCCTTATTTTTCGGTGGACGGTTAATAGCTATGACGAACGAGGCGTCCTATTACGCTGTTATGAAGAAGACGCCTTCTGTCGGCACACTGTGGGTTTGGGCAGTACTGGAGCTTTCCTTGGTGCCTGCTATTTTCGGAGTTCTGACCCCAATCTGCTGGGCTGTTCTATATAAAGGATACGGGATTATCTGAGGGGACATTATATCATTCCTACTCAGCCGGGGCTATAAGTAAAGTACCTTCTGTTGTTCTCCTTTTATTGAGCTCTGCGAGAGCGAAAACCATCCGTCGGAAGTGGAAAGCTGAATTTCTGCATGGCCCTTCTGATTTTAGAACAATTATATCACACCATATGGGAAGTTATGCCTGGGCGCAGGTACAGATTGTCTCTTGTGTCTGGAGCTCCGGAGGAAAATGAAAAAAAAAAAAAAGGAAAAGGAAAGTCGAGCTCGAAATGCGGAAACACTGATGTCTACCGGCGTCTTGTTGGAATCGAAGGATCGTGATTTCCGCATGAAATCGTAATTCAATAATCGCTTTTCTAATTTGAGGAATACAATTGTAACAGTATGTACAGTACATTGATGCGATAAAACCCGACAAAGAATATAAGCCACTTTTCCCGGTGGCCATTATGTGTGTCACCATATGTGTGTCAATATCATTACTTGGCTCATTATCAGCACGTAGTGAAGTCTGTTGATATACATGGATTGGCACAGTCGATTGGAACTGTAGCACACCAGCGGTTGATGCACGAACTGTGTGTTAGTTTGGGTTACTTCTATTTTTTCCTTTTATAATACGCACTTCTCTGGGATTGCCAAATTGCCATGCACACGGCACAGTCTACTCATAAAAATAGCGAAGAGATGCACCCAATATTGCAAATGGAACTTAAGAGGGAGTGAAATCTTTGATTAGTGGCCTAGAAGGGTTGATTCAGATCATCGCGTCTTATGACATTATATACACAGTCAGAAGTAACCCCCGTTCCAGGGTGCTGTATATGGAAACATTCTAACATCGACAGCCTCGGCTAGTGTGTGTCTAAAGGTTGATCTAGGACAATATACCTTATTTCTTCTTTTAGACTTTTGCTTCATTGATTTCTACATATTTTACTGAAAAGGGAGGAAATGGTTGTTCGAGGAACTATATGAGAGATTATGAGAGTCATTATTATCATTTAACTATTTAACCCTCTATTGATTAACTATTTCACAACTTTAGATAGAAAAGGGGAGGATTTCAGTCTGCACTAATGGGATAGAAAAACGGGACCACCGGATGAAAAGAAAAACGAAGAAAAAGAAGAAAGAAATAAGAGGACCTCCTTAAAATAGAAAAACAAAGTCAAGGTTTTTTTTTTTTTTTTTGGTTAAT